GTCCAGACGGTGGGAATAGTAGTTCAGCGGCGGTCGGTAGGCGGGCTAAGTATCTGAGGCCCACCAGATGGTCCTGGTTGAAGGGTGGGTAGGTGTATTTGGTTGTTGGACTGCGAAGTGGCAGGGTAAACGGGGCAGCGCAGTCCATGACTGTGTCAGTAGCCTTCGCGATGGTGCGGCATACACACAGTAGTGGGTAATGGGACGGGCCCTCGCGCCATGAATGGCGCCAAGTCAAAGTACGATGGCAGAACCAAGTGCCACTCTCAGCACCGTCGGTGGCCCAAGCGGTGAACACGCACGTGAGCAGTAGGCAGGACAGTTGTGACCGCAGGGCCCGTAAGGCCGCCCGTCCTTGAGTTCTAAGGTCCATGAGGTCCAGGGATCCCTTGGATATCCAGCCGTGTTTGGCCTGTCGGCCACTCTCCGAAGTACTGGGCGGGAAGGCAACCTGGGCTGCATGCAAGATGTGCTGGTTCAAGTGATCAGCATGGTCGTCCGGGTGGGTTTGGTAGGTGGGCTGAGGCATTGACTCAAGCTCACGGACGAAGGCGGCACAACACTCTGGATAATTGTACTTCGCTTCGTCCACTCGTAATCGGGACCACGTGTGTGCATGCTGGCATGGCAGAGATGGGTACACATGCGCATCTGCCGATGCCACAAAATGACCACCACTACGCAGAGAGAGATCAAGATCCACTTACACTGACTGTCGTGTAACGCACGACAGCTGTCCGCATGGCACAGTGATGTAATCAATGCGATGCCGTGGGTCAGTCCCTTGAGCCCCAGGGGGAAGCCAGGTGCCATGGACCCCAGAAGCCGAAGGCAACATCGTGGATTGGGCAATATGTCCCGAGGTTCGCAGAAACTGATGGAATCGAGCCCCAGTGTGGTTCTCATTTTCGGCGGCAACGCCGCCAGCATGATCCGAGACCCGAGAGCCCAGAGCAGCATTCGCATCCAACAAACAGTACAGAGGCGCGGGGTGCGAGCGCTGGCGCAAGATGCGTTCGATACTGACCCACCACCCTTCAACCTCGACGCTGTCACGTCTGGAGTGCGGAGCATGCCCGACCAAGATATCGACACACAAATGTGGTGCACGCACAGCAACGAGAAGATGGTGAGAAGCACAGCTGAGAACACGAAGATGGCGGCGAGAGAGCGTACACCCACGCACGTACTAAATACCTGTGTGCACCCACAGAGCTACCCCACCTGCGCCCTGTTCAGCAGCGGCGGTGAGCACAAGATACTGAGCGGCAGGCGTCCATCCGTTGCGACGTATCCTAGTCTCGAGCGTGCCGATAAAGAGAAACTGGCGAGCATCAAACAAGTGCGCCAGAGACAGCATGCGCCCAAGGGTATCTAGTCCAGCAGCGTCCTGGTACCGACATCGTATCCGCAGCATGCCTCCCTTCCGTGCAGCCTTCCTCCTGGGCCGTAATGTAAGAACATTGGCCGCAGCAAACCTGACAAGGGCATCAAGACCTGAACGGGAAGGCAAACGGACCGCGTCTTCACTTTCCGAGCTGAGTCCTGCATGCGGCGAGAAAGCGCGACGGGGATCGAGGAGAGGTGGACGGATGATGGGCATTTCACTCATGCCAACTTTCGGGTGCACCCCATGACCGTCGCTGGCGTTGGAGATAACTGACATCCGCAGCCAGGGCGCAGCAGCAGCGGCGGCGGCGCCTAGCGCAGACCACGGCTGAAAGTCGTCGGGCGCAGTCGGAGCCAAGCCCATGTAGGCTAATCGTGCAATGGCATCTGCAAGCTCATTCCGGGGGTCGGCATTGTGCCCCAAGACGTGTTTCCAACGCACCGTGGTAAAACAGCGGAGGAGCTTCAACGCCCCATCGAACATCCCAGGATAGCCCCCACAAGATATGTAGTGCGTTCCTCCTTCGGCCGACGTGACCACAAGAATGTTGTCGGTGAAAACTTCCAGGGGCCTGGGCCTGAATCTGCTAGGAGCCTGCAACATCCATAGCACTAGCCATAGGGCAGCTTGAAATTCAGCAGCACCTGAAGCACTGGGCAGATCGAGGAGAGAGGGGTCAACACCACATAGATAACCTTCACATGTATACTGTTGTGTGCCAGTAACTGAGTACATACACCAAGCCCATGACGGTGGTCCACCCAGTACTTGCGCCCGAGATCCACCAGAGCCGTCCGTATGCACCTCATACCTGATAATCTCCTCCTCGGGGGGGGGAAGGGCACCTCCGTGGGATTCAAAGCAGGAGCGCGTGCTACTATGAAGGTAAGAGGAGAAGAAGCAAGAGTCGGGCAACTGCTGAGGCCCGTAGAAAACTGGTGTGAGAGTGCGAGCGCAGGGCCAAAGCTGAAGAAGGCCTCTTACGATCGACTCACAATCGGGAATGGGGCAAGGCGGCCTGGAGCGAGGGGGGAGAGACGGATCGGGCTCCATCCGACCGAGGGGCTCTGACGCGACATCGGCTGCGCTGGCAGCCACAGGCGAGCTATGAGATGGCTCAGGCATCTCACCCCCGGCAGCTCGCCTGTCCAGAAGCATCGCCCCAGCGTCGACTCTCCAATCGATTCGGCACCAGCGCCGCCAACCATCTCGAAGCCGTCGGGCCTGCGGGGACTGCGATCGCGGCTACGCCGCGTCCGCCTCGCAGCCGCCTCCGTATCGCGGTCGCCAAACTCCGCCGCGATGTCGGCGCGTCCAGCTGGGGCCGGCATGCTGCCACGGCCGCGATGTCCGCCGAGCTGCTGCTGCCTGGCCATGGCATCCACGAGCAGCGGCTGGCCTGGTGGGCGCCTCGCGCGCTCCTGCTCGCGCGTGGCACGGCGCGCCGTGGCGGCACGAGCGCGCGCAGCAGCGAGACCCTCGCCGCCGGCCCCTGCGGGCGCCGCAGGTGCGCCGACAGCAGCAGCTGGCGCAGGCGGAGCGGGGCCAGCGGCAGCTGCAGGATCAGCTGCTCCCTCCACTGGGCTCGCTACCGCGGCCGCGGCGGCAGGCGCGGCGGCTGCAAGCTCCTCCGCCGTCGGCGGGCGGCCCAGGCGCTGCGGCTGGCCAGCGAAAGGCCTGACCTGCGGGGCGCCGCCTTCAGGCGGGACGGGGGCCTCGGCGGCAGCCGCTGGGGTCCTTGCCGCAGCCATCGCCGTATGCAGCGTCGTCAGCATGGCAGTCAAGCTGACGAGCTGGGCCGCGAGGGTCGCCTGGCCGCTCTGGAGCTCCGCGATGGCCGCCAGCTGCGCGGGAGCACTCTGAGGCGTCCCAGGGGCAGCACCGCCGCTTCTGGCGTCCTCGTGCCCTCCGCGCCCATGTCCACGTCCTCGGCGGCGCCAACAGCCGCAGGAGGGGACTGCATCGCCTCCAGCTGGTCCAGCAGCAGCTTGGCCCGATCATGCTCCTGCTCGCGCTGCGTGCACTTCGCATCAGCCTCCTGCAGGCGCGCCTGGGCCTTGTCGACCGCCTCGCGGGCGCGCTCGAGCTTCCCTAGGGCCTTGGCCACATAGGCCCGCTGGCGGTCGCAGCGCTCACCAGGCGCACGGGCCGTGATGATCATGCACAGCTGGACGCCATACTCCAGCTTCTGGGCCGTCAAGAGCTCATCGGAGACTCCGAGGGCGATGGAAGCCTGAAGTCGCTTCCCTGTCGCAGCCGCGATCTGACGGAACGACTTCCTGTGCGCCGCCAGGGCGCGCTCGTCGCTGGGCGGGTCGACCCAGGCGGGGTGCTGCCTCGCCTCCTGCGGCAGCGCGGGCAGGATCCCGAGCGCTGGGCTGCTCACCTCCTCGTCGGCGTCCGAGACGCCGTGGCCGTCGGGGTCGGGGTCGGGCTCGTCCGCGAAGCGCACGCGAGAGCCTGACCGCGGCCGCTCCTCACGCCTCTCGCGTCTGCGGCGACGGGAAGCGGAGCGACGGCGGCCTGCCGCCCCAGGAGATGCCGAGCCTCGCTGCCCAGGGTGCTGCTCCTGCTGCTGCTGCTGGCGCTGCTGCGGGGGGCCGCCATGCCCGCCTCCGACTGGGCCCGTAGGGCCAGGGTAGCAGCCTCGGCAGAGCCTCTCCTGCGGCCCGTTGAAGCAGCCGCAGGCCTCGCACCACCAGCCTGGCGGTGGGGGCGGTGGCGCACCCTGCCACGGAGGCGGAGCCCGACCTCCCTGCGGGGCGCTGCCGCCCGTCGCGCCTGTGCGGCCCTTGCCGCTGCCTCCCTTGCCCATCGCGCTGTGGTGGGCAGCAAGGAGGCGTGCCGCGGCCGCGACGCGCAACAGCGTGCGCGACTGTGCGCGTCGCAGGCGCGCTCGGCGATGCCACGCGGGCTCGGCGCGCCCGAGCCTGGCGGGCTCGGCGCTGCCAGCGGGCCCAGCAGGCGGGCCAGGCGGGGAGCTGCGCGAGCGGGCGCGGCCAGCCGCAGGCCGCCCAAGCACGGATCGCGCGGGACTGGGGCGCGGGCCAGCGCGCGTGGCTGCCACCTCCGGGAGAGGTCGCCGTACCTGGTACGGCGCCCGAAACCTCTCGAACCGGGGCGGCAGCTCAGTGGCAAGGAGGGAGGGAGGACGACGGGATAAAGTGGCGACCTACGTACGGAGCCACACTAACAGCGGGCTGCTCTTGCTGCATCGGATGCGGGAAGGAGGGGAGAGGGGGGATAGGGGGAAGGGTCGGGGGGAGTGCTCTCTCACCCCCTTCCATTCTACTGTCCCCACCCTCTTCTCATCCCATCTGTGCCCGTCCATCTCCTCTTTTTCATCCTGCATTCACCACGGGGCAGGTAAGTAGAGAAGAAGGAGGTGGAGGAGGAGGAGGAGGAAGAAGAAGAAGCTCCTCCTCCTCCTCCTCCTCCTCCTTGTCCTCCTTGTCACCCTTGTCCTCCTTGTCCTCCTTGTCCTCCTTGTCCTCCTTGTCCTCCTTGTCCTCCTCCTCCTCCTCCTCCTCCTCCTCCTCCTCCTCCTCCTCCTCCTGCCCGTACCTGCCGGGTGGTGATTAGAGCGCACCCTTATTCACCCGAAGATGTCCTGCAGGCCTCCCGGGTCCAGCAGGCCGCTCAGCGCGCCGCGCAGCGCGTGCGCCGGCAACGGGGCGCCTGCCAGGACCCCTCCCCCTCCTCCTGAGGAGGAGGGGGAGGAGGGAGGGAGGAGGCCGGCTGGAAGGAGGAGGATGCCAGCAGTGCTGCCATCACCCTCCCTTCCCAGGCCCCCTCTCCTCACGAGTCACCGCGGCAAGCGCCCCTCTCAGCCTCCCCGGCTGGAGCTTCCCTCTCTGGGAGTGGTGGCCGGGGAGGTTCTCCACCCACCTCCAAGGCGCCGAGCCCGCGCGCGCGTTTGCGCGTTGGCTCCGCGTTGCTCGGGGGATCCTCCTCCTCCTCCTCCTCCTCCTCCTCCTCCTCCTCCTCCTCCTCCTTCCTCCTCCTGGCACCTGGCACCTCGTGACATGAATGTTCGACGGGACATTGCCTCCCTCCTCCTCCTCCTCCTCCTCCTCCTCCTCCTCCTCCTCCTCCTCCTCCTCCTCCTCCTGTACGTCTTCTGTGGCACTGACGCGCCGCTCCACGGAGCCCAAAGTCCAAAAGGCCCGGGACACCTGCGCCAATACGGTGCTTCAGAACGCCCTTCCTGCCCAGGCCCTCGTTTCACGGAGGCGCCGCGGGAGGCGCCCCCCTTGACGGACGGGCGCCCCGAGACCGCAACCCGCGCGGGCGGGAGCTTCGTTTTCGAGCGCATCCGCCGCCCATCCGCCCAGCCGGAAGAGCTGCACGGAGGTGTGGTCATATTCTGCGAGGAGGTGTTCCACGCAGCGTCACCGCCTGTATCCGAGGCTATGCCTCCTCTCGGCCTCGCTCTGAGGCTCCGCCGCTTCCTCCCTCCTCTTCTCTGCCTAATTCAAGTTTCGCGCGGCCCGCTTAGCTTCGTCCGGAAGAGGTGCGCTCTCGACCCGCGGATCAAAAAAGTGTTCCACGCAACTTCTCAAATGCGCCGAATTCCATCCGTACAGCTGCTGCAAACATCCAACGCCTCTTATGCATCGAGAAGAAATCGTCAGTGACAAATGCACGTCTGACGAAAATCCGTCTTCCTCCAAAGCTTGACGTTCGCAGCTCCGGAAGCTAGGAGCTGAAGCTCGAATGCGACGTCAAGGAGCTGGCGTAATCAGCTTGACCCCCCAACGTCGCCGAGCTCAGCCCGAACCCTGGATTCGGGGAGTTCGGAGCCCCCCTCACTCCTGAGTTCGGTCCTGCCCGGTACGTCGTCGTGGCGCTCGCTGGGTTCAGCCCGAACCCCTGGATGTCAGGGAGCCGGAGCCCTGACCGAGGCCCGCCTCGTCCTGCGTGTCGTCGTGGCGCTCGCTGAGCTCAGCCTGAACTCCGAACTTATGGAATCGTCCTCGCCTCCTGCATCTTCGTCATCACGCCTCCCCCCATTGCACTCTGGCCAAAGCCGTCCCCGAATCGAAAACCGAATCGGCGCCCCCATGGAAATCAGCCCGGACTTCATCTCTTCCCTCCTCGCTCCTCCGATACAACCTCTATTCCTCCATGTCTCCCGCTCTTGTCCTCCTCCTCCTCCTCCTGCTCTTCCTCCTCCTCCTTGCCCTCCTCTTCCTCCTCCTCATCCTCCTCATCCCTCTTCCCTCCTCCTCCCCCTCCTCCTCCTCCTCCTCCTCCTCCTCTTCCACCCATCAAGTTCCTCCTCCTTCCCTCGATGTCCTCCTTCTTCTTGCAGTTCCCCCTATTCTCTTTGGACTCATCATTGTCATCATCCTCGTCCTCCTCCGCATCTGCTGCATCTTCGCGCCCGTGCACGGCAACACATGCCCCCAACTACACCAGCACGACGGCCTTCATGAGTTGATCCTGAACCTCTTCGCTTCCTCCTCCTCACTCCTCCCCCTCCCCCTCCTCCTCCTCCTCCTCCTCCTCCTCCTCCTCCTCCTCCTCCTCCTCCTCCTTCCCCTCCGCCCCCGTCCGCCCCCTACATTCATCAGCATGTTCATCCTCATCGTCACCCTCATTCTCAGCATTATCTTCGTCATCGTACTCATCCTTCCCCTCTGCCTCTACATCCCTACAGTGCCAGAGCCTATCTTTTCCTTTCCGCCCAGAATGAAGCCATGACGACGTCACATAGGAAATGTAACAAGCGGCCCCGAACTGAACCAGAACAACGTCATGCCAAAACGTTGTGCTAATACCAGCAGCTCTTCACTCAATGCTCTCCCCCCCTCCTCGGCCCCGGATAATACCGTACTGGCGCCCCTTTAGAAACGAGATCCAACTCCGAAATAAACCAAGAGACGGAGTTCTGTGAAAACATGCGCCGGCCCCGCTTCGTGTGCCATCCTTCATCGCTTCTACAATCGGACCTAGGCCAGAAAAACATTCTTCAAGAACATGCGACCCTCCATCGGCCAAAACAAAAAGAACTCCCGAGAGTACCCTCCCCAGGATGCACAAGAACACCCAACAAGCACGAATAACTAGGGTGCCCTCCCCGAACCGACCTCGACCTCATACCTCGGTCCGACTGTACCCGTCTCCTGTCTTCCAGCCCCCTGGCCTCCAGAAAGAAGCAGGTTGAAACCGGCGAGCGCTTCCCGCCATCTCCCGCCTCCAGACTCATCGGAACATTGCGGTCTGACGGAAGCGGTTCGCCTCTGCTCCGTTTCCGTCCTCTTGGGCCGCCCCCCAGGAATCCACAAAACCGTGCTTCAGACATTGCGAGCGCTTCCAGTTTCAGAGCGCAGAACAGGTCGGCGGAATGCGAAGGATCCTGCAGGATCCTGCACCCAAGCCCGGGTCAATGCGACCCTGGCCCTGCAGGATCCTGCAAGATCGGGAGCTCTGGCCGACCCCCGTTTGCATCGACCCCCGTCTCGAGGCTCCCGAAGTCTCTCCTCCTCCCTTGTCCTTCCGGGGCCATCTGGGAGCGGTGCTTGGAGGCCAGCGAGCGCCTCCTGCCTCAACGCGCAAAGGCAGGTTTTGCGGGACGAGGGTCTTGCCGTCGCTCGGACGCCCATCTCCCGTGCCTTTCTCGGTTTCGTGCGTGTGTGTGTGTGTGTGTTTTTGCTCGATGGTCCAGGAGGGTCCTCGATTAGAGGCCTCCTAGATGGGGTCGGAGTAGATGGGATCGGTGGATCGCACCGTATCGCCGATACATCGGCGATGCATCGGCAATGCATCGGCGATGCATCGGCGATGCACCAGCGATGCGTCGTCGACGTCGTCGCTTCATCGGCGACGCCGGCGCGAAGAACATCGGGCCCCGCATCGAGCCGCATCGCCGATGCATCGGCGATGCGACGCGATCCTCCGACCCCATCTACTCGGACCCCATCTAGGAGGCCTAGATCGATGGCTCCCGCCGAGAAAAGATGCACACGCCCGAGCGCTGCCAGGGGGTGGGCCCGCGCCGCGCTTTCGGGGGCCTGCCGCCCCCTGCGGGCCCCCCGCCAAGAGCCTCTCCCGGCAGAGCGCGGGCACGGATGCCGGCTGGTGCACGGCTCCGGGCGTGCGCGCCCTCGGCCAGAGCGTGCCGGGATTCGAGCAGGAGATCGGCGTCGTCGTCGTCGTCGTGGGCGTCGTCGTCGGCGGCGGAAGCGATGGGGGTAGATGGATCTCCCCCTCCTCCTCCTCCTCCCCTCCTCCTCCTCCTCCTCCTCCTCCTCCTCCTCGACTACAGAATTGATCTACCCCCGAATATTGATTTTCCGTGGAATCTGCGGGAAAGTCGTAGGATGCTCCGTAGATCTACGGAGCATGCTACATAATCTTAATCGCCTCGATGAAGAAATCAAATTCGGGGTACATCAATTCTGTAGTCTATCGCTTCGATGAAGAAATCAAATCCGGGGTGCATCAATTCTGTAGTCTATCCACTATTCGAGGGATCGGCGGGGCGGGCTCGGCCCCGCCCCGCCGAGCGATTCACTTTCAAGGTGCGTTCAGCCATCACGGCGGGAGGCCCTCCCGTGGGCGGCGCAAACGAGGCCGCTCTGCTCGCCCCTGCTCGGGACACGCTGCGAAGTGCCACGGCACGTGCGCGCCGTTCCTGGGCTGGCTGCTCGATGCATTCACTGTTGCATGCTGGTAGAGAGCCACCGCAACCTAAGACCCCGATCAGTGATCCAAGGAAGCCAGCAACTGATAGCAACAAGCAAGCATGATGCCATGACTGCCACCTGTAAGACGCATGGTGTCGCCTCGCCGCTCGAAACACCTCCTTCCTCCCCGCCTCCTCCTCCCTGCCCGCAAGCGCCAAGCCCCTTCCCCTCCCGCTGGCGGCGGCGGCGGCCAGGCGGACGAGTCTGGGTCACCTGGCCAGCTCTCCTCGCTCCCAGCCTCAGCCTTGCCCTTCACACCTCTCGTCCCCCCGTTCACCCCAAGACCTCTTCTCTCTCTCTCTCTCTCTCTCTCTCTCCCTTTCTCTCTTTCCATCTCTCTCTCTATATATATATATATATATATCGTCCTCGCGGTGCTGCTGCTGTTGCTCCTCCTCTGCCTCCCGCCCCTCCCCCTGCTCCTCCAGCTGCTCTTCCTCGTGCTCGTATTCCTCTTGCTGCCGCTGCTCCTTCTCATCCTTCGCTTCCTCCTCTCTTGCTCTCCGTCATCCCCTTTCCTCCTCCTCCTCCTCCTCCTCCTCCTCCTCCTCCTCTTCCACCTCCCCCTCGATCCCCTGCCCATTCCAGAAAGAATGTGGGATGAGGATGGAGACTTGAGAAGAGAGGAACGAAGGAGAAGAAAGGAGGGGGGAAGGACGGAGGGATGTGGGATGAGGGAGGATAGAAGAGTGAAGAGGAAAGAAAGATGACTGGCGGGGGGTGGACGCAACTCTGGAGGAGGACGAGAGGCAGACGGGAGGGAGGAGGAAAGAGGGAAGGACAAGGTGTGGAGGGAAGAGAAGAGGAGGAGGAGGAGGAGGAGGAGGAGGATGAGGAGGAGGAGGAGGAAGAGGAGGAGGCGGAGGAGGGAGAGAGCGAGGGAAGGGAAGGAAGGAGGAGACGAGAGAAAGGTCGCGAGAGGGCGCTGTCGCCGAAATTGCCCCTGGCGTGGCGCAGCGCATCCTCGCCGCTGGCCTGGCTGCGCGGGCGAGTGTGCCAGTAGGTAAGTGCAGTTGTTTCCCCGTCGTTGGCCCCCCTCCACCTCTCCCCCCTCCTACCACCGTCATCATGGCACCATCATCACCGTCATCCCCGTCCACATCAACATCATCGTCATCGCTCCTTCTCGGTCCTCTTCTTCCTCTTCCCCCTCGTCGCCCTGATCCTCTTTCTCCTTGCCCTTCTTGTCCTTCCTGTCATCCCTGTCCTCCTTGCCCTCCTTGTCCCCAGTGTCCTCCTCCTCCTCCTCCTCCTCCTCCTTCCCTCCTCCCGGCACCTGGCACCTCGTGGCATCAGCGTTCGTCGGAACATTGCCTGCCTCCTCCTCCTCCTCCTCCTTCTCCTCCTCCTCCTCCTCCTCCTCCTCCTCCTCCTCCTCCTCCTCCTCCTTCTCCTCCTCCACCTCTCCCTCCTGCTGCTGCTCGCGTTCCGATGGGGGCCCGTGTAGCGTCGATCACCGCGCACCGTGGCCCGCCGCCGGGTGGATCGGGGAAGGCAGGAGCCCCTCGCCAACCACCGCGCGCCCTCCCAACAGCTGCCCGTCGCCTCCCCGCCTGAAGCAGCGAGGGAGCAGCGCACGACCGCCCGACTCCCAACTGCTCCTCCGCGAGCGTCCTCCTTCCCCCACGTGTCGGTGGGCCGGCCCGTGCGCCTCGCCCGAGGGCACCTGCCACTCCGGGAGCACCCGCCTGCAGCCCGATCCACTGTGAGACGCTGGTGCCCGCTTCCAGAGGAGGAGGAAAAGGAGGAGGAGGAGGAGGAGGAGGAGGAGGAGGAGGAGGAGGAGGAGGAGGAAAAGGGAGGATGAGGAGGAGGAGGAGGAGGAGGATGAGGAGGTCGGAGGAGGAGGAGGAAGAAGAGGAGGAGGGGGGAGGCGGAGGAGGAGGAGGAGGAGGAGGAGAGGAGGAAAAGAAGGAGGAGGGGGAGGAGGAGGGAGGGAAGGGAAGCTCCTCGATTGCTGCCCCCTCTGGCGGCGGAGAGGCCCGCCACTGCCCTTCCACCCTGTGAGAGGCCCGCCCTCCAGAAGGCCCTGGGCAAGTGTGCTCACTGTTTCGTCGGGGCGGGGCGCCCATGGGCCTGCGCGCTCTGCCGCGAGCCGGAGCGCGGCACCAGGTTGGAGACAAAGTGCGAGGGCCCCTGCTCGGGGACGCACAAGGACGTGCTAGTACGACGCGTCATCCCTGGAGGCGCGCGTCCGACACGAACGTATGTTATACCCATCTTGTAATATATCTTTTCCCGAGCGGTGTGGCCAGACAGCGCCCGCCACGACGCACATACTGCAAGATTTTTGTTGGTGCGCGCGTCGCCCCGAGGGGGGCGACGCGTATCTAGTCAGAGTGAGGGGGCTGAACCGAACGGTCATTCACTGTCCCTGGGTGCGTGGCTGAAGAGGAATTCCGCGATGCGGATTTTTCTTGTTTGTTGTTTGTTGTCTGTTGTTGTCGTCGTCCCACCCGCGACCCGCCCCGCGACCCGCCCGCGAGCCACCCCGCGACCCACCCGCGCGCGACCCAGCCGCGACCCACCCCGTGACCCACCCCGCGACCCACCCGCGACGGGGAGATTCGGTCTCTTTACAACCAGAACAATCACTTTACAACCATATGGGCTACTTTACAACCAACATAGGATTGGAAACTATGGTTTTTCATCGAGAACGTCCACTTTGCAACCAGAACGGCCCACTTTACAATCATAACGGACCACTTTACAACCAGAACGGGCCACTTTACAACCAGAACGGACCACTTTACAACCAGCTCAGAGTGGCCGTGCGTGTTTGGGCGCTCCGCAAAGTGCTCCAGAGCAAGTGGGCGCTCTGAAAAATGCTCCAGAGCAAGTGGGCGCTCTGAAAAATGCTCCAGAGCAAGTTGGCGCTCTCAAATGTGCTCCAGGGCGCGCGGACGCTCTGCAAAGTGTTCCAGAGCACGTGGGCGTTCTGGAGCCCGAGCGCCTGAACACTCTGCGCAGGCCCCAGCGATGCCTCTGAGCCCGAGCGCCTGAACGCCCTGCGCAGGCCCCAGCGATGCCTCTGAGCCCGAGGACCTGGACGCTCTGCGCAGGCCCCAGCGACGCCTCTGAGCCCGAGCGCCTGGACGCCCTGAGCAGGCCCCAGCGATGCCTCTGAGCCCGAGCGCCTGGACGCTCTGCGCAGGCCCCAGCGATGCCTCTGAGCCCGAGCGCCTGGACGCTCTGAGCAGGCCCCTGCGATGCCTCTGAGACCGAGGACCTGGACGCTCTGCGCAGGCCCCAGCGATGCCTCTGAGCCCGAGCGCCTCGTGGCCCCATGTTCAAGACAGTGGTCGGGGTCTTCACCAACGGCCTCGTATTGAACCCCTTTCGATTGCAGTTTCCATTGCAACCCTGCTACAACCACACTTACCGCTGCAGCCCCGCTACCTCCACAATTCTGACTGACCCCCCGCTACCACCACAGATCCCATTGCAGCCCAGCTACCACCACAGTTCCCTACCGCTGCCTGGCGACCACCACAGTTGCCACCGCAGCTTCCCAACACCGTGCAGTTCCCATTGTAGCCCCCGCTACCACCACATCTCCCACTACAGCGCCCCACTGCCATGCAGCTCCAGTCTTGGACAGGATCATGGTGCATTCGTGCGTCCTGCGCGAGTAGCCTTCGTCCGTCAGAAAAAAAAACAGAGCAAGCAATGGCAGAACTGACCGACAGAGCTTAGAGAGCAGGTCAAAACCATAATCCGCCCACCAGCACGCAACATACCATAGCGCACCAGGTCGTCGCATCACCAACGCGCGCGCAGTGCTTCTTCGTGCGCGATGGGCAACTTTACAACCAACATGCCTCAAAGAGCCCACCGCCACCCTTACCCTTGCCCACGGAGGTTTCAGGGGAAGGCCCGCGTGCATTCAATATGTGTTTCCACTTGCCTGGTTGTAAAGTGCCCTTCCTGGTTGTAAAGTGCCCTTCTCGGATTTTGTAAGCAGGTTGTAAAGTGACCCATATGGTTGTAAAGTGCGCTTCTGGTTGCACAGTGACCCGCGCGCCGACCCACCCCGCGACCCACCCGCGACCCACCCGAGACCCAACCCGCGACCCGCCCGCGAGCCACCCCGACACTCCCC